AAACTAAATTTTTGAGCCGGACAGATTGTTTTTATTTCAAAGTTTGAGTGTTCCTAAAGCAAAAAAAAAATTCACAAAATGCAATTTTTCAACTGCCAAGGCCAATGATTCCAGAATGCAGCCATCTTTAAAAAAACATCCGACACAGATCAAGATTTTTGTCTTGTTTAAAAGTTAAGCTATTTTTGAGATCAATTTAATTTATTTTAATGCAATTGAAATACCATGTTTGCAAGCATGTCAGGCTGCGTGAGTAAGTGGATGGGATTATTCAAATCCAGGTATACAAGAATTACGATCTTCAAGGTCACCCACAATGGCGGCAATGACACCGTTGAATGTGACATATCCACTTTGAAATAGCGGCGTAAATGTTCTGTCCCGGAATCTGTTTATATTTGTGAAGAAGTGGATTTTTACTGTTAGGCGGAACCCATTTTAAAAGGGGGTTGAAGTAGCGAATTGTTACGAGTTTACCGTAAATGACCGCGGGTGACCCCAGATCGAACGAACGTTGGGTTTGAATGACGCCATATCGAATATGATTTGGTTAAAAAAATTTGGAATAATTTGATCACCGTGTTTAACTCGTTATGTTGTATACTATTAAGTATAACTAGAATAACCTATCTAGATGGTTTTAGACAATAAATCACATTGATGGCGTCATAATAATATCAAATTGTTGTTATAATTTACTATTAATAGTACATTATCCTCCAATACGGCCATAATACGCTTTGCCGTCATCGAGTTCTGAGCCCCCCTCCCTCCTCCTCAGTAACACGGATCGCAAAAAAGCCAAGTCTAGTCAATATATGGTTTTCTAAACTCCATTTACAATGTGTTGTGTGTTAAATTCCTATCCTTAGGCAATATTTCATTTCAAAACGTCCCCATAATTATGCGAATGACCTCTATATTAACATAATATATGCATAGTGATGTTTACCTTTAAGTAACTATCACATGTCACAAAGTATAAAATTCATTCACCATTTTAAAAAATCATATATTTTTCGCATTAATAATTTTTTGCATAATTGTATCTGTTGATGCTTCATGTGCCATAGATTACATACATGGTATGTGTAAAAGAACTCTCCTGTAAAGCACTGCAATTGCAGAATTTTGTCCTTAATTATGCAAATTTATTCTTCATCTGTATATTTTGCATTTAGTTATGTATCTCTCTCTAAAGCGATGGTCACAACCCGCCGTACGTGCTTCTGCGTGCTGTCTACGTGCAAAAACGTGGGCAAACGTAGGGGATCCGTGCGTGGTGAGTACCACCTCCGTACGGAATCCTACGGATTTGGGAGCATGCAGACACGCCGTAGAACTTTAAGTGCATGTAAAACTTTTTTCTACGTGAGGTCTGCAGATTTACCACCCGTGCGTGCGAGTACGTGCGACGCGCGTGCCCCGTACAGTCTATGAGCGTGCAACGTACGGACTCCGTGAGTCTAACTTCACTATTCTCACGTGCAATTGCTGTACGGACAGCGCACGAAGCACATGCGTGCCACGCACGGTGCTTGCGTCATCCGTGCTTACTCTTCACTTCCCAGTTGACCTGCTCAATGACCACGCAGAACACACGTGCACCATACCAGGTGCTCCGCACGTGCAACGCACGTGCAACGCACCTGATTTCTACAGTATATAAAGACGACTTGACGGGCGACTGCCAACTCGTCTCCAAGATGCCCAGGAAGGCTCAGAAGAAGACTACCAGACAAGACCCAAAGAAACGGGCCGCCGTGTGAGAGGACGTGTGAGAGGACGCTCCGACATTTTCAACATTTTGCCACGTCTGTTTGTACTGTTTGAACTGCCAGCCAGCGAACTTTATCTGACAACGGTCTACATTTAACCGACTTATGGGAAAGCGACATAGAGGCTCCAGGGGCAGCAGTTCTGAAGAAAACAGTCCGAAATCGCGAAATTGCCCCCCTCCCAAGACAGCAAAAATGGCGTCTGGTGGAGCTACGCTGACATCGCTACCCCCAGACTTACAGAAGCTGGCGCAGCTGATCTTCACTTAAGCGAAGGAACAACCTATCCCCAAATCCACCTATGCTGTTCTGCTCGTCGATGGGAAAGAGAAGAAGCGTATTGATGCGGTGGACTTACTGTTCAACTCTGAAGACATTAAACCAACTTGAGGTTTACAGCATTAGCCACTTCGAACTGGATTTCACGAGAACTTTATTGCATTATTTTTCATGTGAACACCATGGACATTAATTTTCATGAGTACTTTATTTTTTATGTGAAGAAGTGGAAATAAATGAGGTTGTATTGTACTTTTGTGGGCTATGAGTATTTTCTTCTAAGTAAGATTAAGTAGAATATCTTTAGTAAGATAGAACAAAGGACTTGTCTATAGAAATTCAATTTTTACTTTCATTTCTTAATTTTGTTATTTCCTGTGATCATTGCTGGTGAATATCTAGCCCACAGAAGTTTTGAAGTTGATTTGTTTCCTCTTTTATTGAGTTTATCTCATCTTAAATGATTACTTTGTTTATTACTTATGTTGTATTTTGATTTCACTGAATCAAGTGCTTTTGTTACCACCGGTGTTCAACATGTTCATTTTGATTTCACTGAATCAAGTGCTTTTGTTACCACCGGTGTTCAACCTGTTTATTTTGATTTCACTGAATCAAGCGCTTTTGTTACCACCGGTGTTTAACCTGTTTATTTTGATTTCACTGAATCAAGTGTTTTTTTGTTACCACCGGTGCTCAACCTGATTATTTCATCACACTGGTATGGTGATTCTTGGGTTCCCCTTTTATTATGCTAATTAGCTTATTTGTATCCAGGTGGTACCAGCACAAGCTAAATATTTTCTGTGGTGAAAGAATTTAGGATGTTATCAAATAACATCCTAGGTGTATGTTAACAATCCGGAGTAAGAGCCTCAAACTTATAAGAACCTATACTCCTTCGAGGCGCCAAATCATGTTGTTATGTAACTTTTTGTTTCTTTTGTTGTTGTCTTATTATTTTTGTTACAAAGCCCTCCCTACTATAATGATAGTGTACATAGATTATGAGTCTTGCCATATTCTGAGTTCATTCCTTTATTTCTGCAATGGAACATTGATTTATGATGATTATTATTTTGTTACTTGTATTCTGTTGATTAATATTATTCTATGTTGGAATGATATAAGCATAGAGCTTGTTATAGAATCGGTTTATATGATTTGGTATCTGAGTTCATTAATATTCCATTTTTTTGTCAGCATTCAAATTTATAGCTATAAGTTCAGGACCTCATCAGATACTTTGTTCAACCTACACGTACGTTGTACGTAATATTTGTTTCAGAACATTTTACTCAAGTTCTCTTTTGTTGATACCACTTATGATTTGCAGTGACAGTTATTTTGATTGTTTGGATAATTTTGATGTTCGCTTAGTCTTCCCCAAGTTTATTTCCTTTGTAGATCGGATCTTCCCACACCATACTCAATCCGGAGCCCCGATGACCTCTCCTGGCTTCCCTCTCCGAGACGTTTTTTCCCAGAAGTTATGTCAAAGGTAGAGTGCCATATATCTAGTTTTAATTGTAATGGACTGGGAGATGCTTATAAACGGAGGGGACTTTTTACTTGGTTAAGGGACAAACCTTACAATATTTATTGTTTACAAGAGACACATACAACCTTAAGAGATGAACAAATATGGCAGAACGAATGGGGTGGTAAAATATACTTCTCACATGGTACCTCTAATCAAAGAGGTGTGGCTATTTTAGTTAAGAATAACACCAGCGCTCAGGTTCATCATGTCAAGACTGATGAAAGTGGGCGCTGGATCATTTTAGATATTGAGATAGATGGACTACAATTTTGTCTTGTTAATTTATATGCACCAAATGACGACTCACCTGCCTTTTTTAAGGGACTTGAGCAAGTCATAGATACTTTTGAGATAAGTGATGAACGTTTGATTGTTGTTGGGGATTTCAACACTGTGCAAAATGCATCAATGGACAGATCGGGTGTTCGACATCGTAATTATCATCCTAATGCACTGGAAGCGATCTCTGAGTTAAAAGGAAAATTTGATTTGCATGATATATGGCGGTTCAGAAATCCAAATGTTGTTCGTTACACCTGGCGTCGTGGCCTCCACGCTAGTAGATTAGACTATTTTCTGATTTCTTTTTCGTTGTTAAATAGAGTAACAAAATGTTGTATTGCGGACAAATTTAAATCTGACCATAATCTAATTACACTATCCTTTGTAACCATGGACTTCCCACGAGGACCTGGTTACTGGCAGTTTAATCAGTCTCTTCTTCAGGACAGAACTTTTATTTTACATACAAAGCAAGTTATGACTGAATTTTTTGAAAATAACGTTAATACTGCAAACCCACAAGTTGTATGGGATGCAGCAAAGTGTTCTTGCGGGGACACTGTATTAAGTTCTCCAGTTGGAAAAAGAAGCAATACCTGATTAAGGAAAAAGAACTCATTAATGAAATCAATAATTTGCAAGCTCAGATCGACAACACCACCTCTCCCTCACCTGACCAGCTGGATGAATTAGCATGTAAACAAAAGCTTCTGGAATCTTTATACAACGAACGTTTAAATGGTATCTTATTAAGATCTAAATCGCGCTGGATGGAGTTGGGGGAGAGGTGTACGAAATATTTTATGAATTTGGTCCGTCGTAATTATACTAGAAAAAATATCCAAAGACTCAAGAGGCCCTCTGGTGAGGTTGTTTCTAATCCAAAAGATATTCTTTCTGATCAGGTCAGTTTTTATTCTGCATTATATTCCTTTGAAGAAATACCAGTGTCCCTTACTGAAACAAATTGTGACGGC